CTAGGGCGACTGATTATGTCAGCGCTATTGTCGCCCTTGAGGAACCATAGGTGACGGTGAAGGTGGTATTCGGGAGAGCCCGTTCAGGACCTAGCCAATAGTGGGTCAACTAGATGGTTGCGAGCCGCTCAGAGGAAGGTGGGGCCCTAAAAACTTAAAAAAGGCCGGCACAACGCCCCCTGACCTTGAAACAGAAGCCCCTTCTCTGCCTTCTAACACATACGTCAGATCCACTACAGATTACAGCCGAGCGCTATTCTGGAGGTACCCCAGGTTTCAGTGCCACGTTCACCATAGCTCATCACTGTTCACACCTATAACGTGCAAAGCGCTTAAGCCTTTAGCGTTTTTCTGCAGAATATTTGTTTTCTCATATTTCATGGTCGATACAACTGGAATGCTTGCACAGCTCAAATGAGCGTCGAGCACACGTCAAATGGAATGGATCATCACAAAGCATCTTTTTATCTTTTCAAATAGCATCTTTTTAAACTGGCGCTTTATTGATTGGTTCGCTTCTGCGAATTCACCAATTCAGAAAGCTTTATCGAGCGCGACTTTGAAAGAAGGAAAAGGAGGAATGGGAACGATGAACGAACATTCTTGGCATAATCATTCCGTGATCTTTTTTTGAGTTATCTAATCGAAACCATGATTCATCGTCTTCAATCTTTGTGCAGGTGTGAAGCTTTGCTAGCAAGCTCAAAAGATATTCGATTGTTCTACTTTCAAGAATGATTTAGCTATGGAAAACGGCGATGTCAAAGGTTTTTTTTGCAGTAGTGGGTCCTTGGTTGAAAATCCCTACAGAAATAAGGTCAGTTGAAGTTCTACTTGTGTTTTCATCCGAGCGAGGTAATACGAAATGGTCAGATCAAAATCCTTGTATCGTAAAATTACAGAGAAATTGAATTTCCTTTCCAAAATCGCTATTTTATGGCTATGCTTCTTCTCACGGAACGAATAATCCGTGTGAAATGTCAGGAATTTCATGGTTTTCTATCGCTTGGAAAGAACCCGTACATAAGCATGGCTGGCAGTTCTTTGGAGTTCAGTGTTGAACACTTAAATAAGAATTTGCGCACAAATAAAGCTATATTTCTTTTCCAAAATATGGTTTTAATATCTGCGATTACGACTACGATGTGACTATGATGTACACCGGAAGGTTCCACAAGAGTCGGGTTTTTTTCACCAGAAATTAAAAATCCACCTCTGTCAGAGGTTCAGAATACATTAACCTCCATTTTGAATTTTCCCAGTTCCATTTCCTTTACTTCGTTCAGAAATAATCAGAGTTCGGGAAAAATAAATAGTAGCGAAAAATGGTATCTGTACCGGTGCGTCTTTTGACTCCTACATTGGTAATCTAAACTCCCGGTGCAGCATACCTAACCATTCTTCTGAGGCATAGGTTATATATTATATTAGAGAATTTCTCGTATCCCAAAAAAGTTGTTCCAATGTGCCTCCTAGGTTTCCAAAACAGGAGACTCGAAGGGTGTTTATATCCCCTACGCATTCCCCTGTATTTTCTAATAATCAAATGGAACTAGGATATCTTAGTACGTTGGTAACAGCAAACAGTATGTCGAACACTTCAAATGCATAACAACGTAATAGAAATTTCTTGCACGCATACGAAGTCAGAAAAGACTTCAGAAAACAGTCAAATTTGAATAAATGGATGAGGTTTTGGATTTTGTACGACTCGACAAAGGCGTTTCCGCCGAAGTTGACCTGGCAGGGGGATAGGTGAGTGGTGACGCAAATTGAGGGCAGTTCGAACAATGGCGATGCCTGCGTCTCTGCTGAGAGGGTGATGATGACCCTCGCCGAAATCGGAGACCAATTCACGAACGGTGTGATTTGCCCGATGATCGCTGGCCCCTTCGGGCGCCTATTCATGAAATAAAAACAAAGAAAACATTTATTATGGGCAAGAGACACTGGTCAGCGCGACGAGGTACCCTTGCAGAAGAGTGCTCTTGTTCACGATTAGTCGCAGATGTGTGTGTCTACGCCATCGGAGAACTCCTAAAACGGAGAGGGCATCCTCACAAAGAGTCTGATTCATCGGTTTCGATTTAGGGACCAGCTGGCATACCTGCGCAGATTTGCTGTCTGTACCGATACCGCCTCGAATCGCTTCCGTCAACTTCTCACCCATGAACACCGCCTGCGCGTTGGGCGAGAATTTCATGCCATTTTTGCATTTTTTAGTCTTTGTTGAAGCTGAAATAACTCGATGACATTACTTCCCAGTTCCCAAATACCGACAAAATATTCTTACAAGCATTAGTGCTGGGAGCTGATTGTGTTGCATTCGTGCTGCCGTTGTTAGACGGCACTGAAATGGTGAAATTCAAGCTTTCTAGTTTTTTTTTGATGCCTTCAAAGGCTCTCACACATACTGGCCATCTCCGGTGGCATCACTGCATTGCACATTGCCTGAGGACAGACACACTGCTCTTCTTCATCTGGATTTTTGAAACACCGAGCCTGAAAGGGATCAGATAAGTAAAAAGGGGGGATAGCAATCGTGGGAAAAGATAATCGCTGAATTTACCGAGCTTCACAATCTCTGCTCACCATCTCAATCGCTTTGACGGAATATGAGCGGGTTTACAATTTCATTGATTGACTAATCAAACCCTTGAAGAGTTTGAATGATTTTAGTGTTGTCAAAGAGAAAAACTACTGAAATTGACACAGCACACACCATTTCGAAGGCATACATGACATTCAAATAATTCCGAACCCTTCAAAAAAGTTTGAACAAGGGGCCGACTTTGATGATTGACCACTTATGCGTTCATCATTCTGCCTCATTTTTGAAATCGGATCGAAGAACGATGTACCTTTTGAATCTGAGCATAAGATCACCTGAAGGTTTTTTAGAGATTTTCAAGCCTAACAGTTTGGCAGCGCAGAATTTATTTACCAGCTGTTCTTTGAGGAAGCGATTAAAAAGACGGAAACCTTCTAAAAAAAAACCTTGCAAAAATATCAAAGCACTCGGTGGCTGGGGATACATTTTAGATCCTCACTCTAGAATGTTGGGACATTATCAGATGTTAGATAAGGGATACAAAGAAGAGACAGCCTGCATCGCTCGCAAAATAAGTCTCATCTAGGGCGCTAGGCTTCGCATCCATTTGGGATAAACTACCAGAGAAGTATGAAG